AAGGAAGCAAGGGGCAGCCAAACTCCAAACAGCTCCCTATGAGCAAGCAGGCGGTCTGTCAAGCCACTGTGCAACCTCCCCAAGCACTGGAAGAATCCCAGTCTCACCAGATGCCAGAGGAAAAAAACAGTAAGTAGTCTTCTTTCTACAGAGGGACAATCTGGGCTGGGGAACAGAGGTGCTAAGAAATCCAGCACCTCTCACTTGGGTACACTATCAATACTTCAACCCCTAGCTTAGTTCTGAGGTTTCACCACACCCCTTCCTGAACCTCTAAGTCCTGCACCTGGTGCCCCCAAGAGATGGGCTCTGCCGGTGCTCCGGCGCCCTCTAGCGACCGTCCACTCTAACGCTAGCCCTCTATAGCCCGACCTAGACTCTGCAGCCCTGGGGCCTTGCCCAGCCCTGAGACCCTTCCTGCCGGAAGCTGCTCCTTCTCTCCTTCAATCCGCAATGAATTACCCCACAGAGGCTAGATCCTTTGGATAAGGAATGTCTTTTATCCACACACTTTAGTCTCGAGAAGGTTTCTAAGGTTCAACTGAAATGCTGTATTTCCCCCTGCTATTTTCAAGGAAAATGTCTCCAGTTTTCTAAATAATAAGAAAAATAAAGTTAGATATGTTGTGTTCTGAACCAGACATAAGAGCAACATTTAAGGGAGTTCATTCAATTTAAGAAGTCCTTTCATTTAAAGCAGAGTTAAGGGTCTCCCCTGTGGATCCCTAGAATTGTAAACACTTAGAAAATCTCTGTGTTTACTTTATTGACTCAGTTGTGACATTTAAAACAGAAATCTGAGGCTGTACATGGGCAATTCTTCACAAAACATGCATATTGACAGGGATGGCTTCAGACTATGACTTCGTACAAATTTAATCACATCTACTGGGTAAATATTGTGCTGGCTCCAAGAGAAAATGTAATAAAGTTCCAAGCCTGTTTCTCTAAACACTCCACTGGAGGTGGGAGCCCCCCCCCACCCATTAACTCCATCCCATACTCCACAGAGATGACCAGTACTCATGGCGCCACAGATTGGCGCCAACATAATAATGGCCTGAAGGGAACTTGAGTCTCTTTACCAGAGGAGTAATCATGAAGGCTGTTGAACGAGTCTCCTGGTCTTGAGCAAGTCACTTCTCTGAGTTTTCATTTCCATATCTGTCTAATTAAACAATTAGAGTCAATAGATTATCCTCATGCTCTCATCCAGCTCTGAGAGTCATAGATCCACAGTGATAAGATGCTCTTCACAGTTCAGAAGTGAGTCCACCACAGATGCCCTTATATGAGCTCCTCTATCCCCAGGTGTCAGTAACATCACAAGATAGGAATAAACCTCCCCTAAGAAGATGCCCTGTGACTTTCTCTCCAAGACCTGCCTCCAGGTCTTCAATATTTACTCACCAGAAAGCTAATGGTCCTTTAGAGGCTGTCAAAGAACTCATCAGACAAGTAGAGGATTTTCTTGGATTTGCCAATTCAGGGGAAATAAATTATATAATGCATTATATATAAAATATATGTTATGTAATATATTAATTCATAGAACAAACAGAAAGATCCCCAGAAGTGACATTTCTAGTATAGAAAAGACAGAAAGTGTATGTAGGTACTACTGTTTTTATATTTTGCAGGCACAAGATAGTCACTAGGTGACTTTAACGTCGACTGAGTCCTTGCTCTAGAACGCCTACCTCAAATAACATTAGAAGAGACTATGCATCTCACCTGACCCATTTATTGAGTCTGATCTTGAATTTAGCATCAACCTCTACATAAATACCCAACCTAGAGAGTAGATTTGAAATCCCAAACTAGATTACTTTCATAACATGCTTCCTTTTTAAAAAACTGTATAGGATTTTTAGATCCTAAAAGGAATTTAAATCCATGATCAATCTGTTGCCATCTATATCCAATTTGGAAAGAAGTATGCTTTTTATTATTGTATGCTGGGAGGTCAGTTTAAATGTACAAAGGATGATCCTAAACCATGTGACATTTTATTTTGAATGCATTTGAAATGTTCTGCCTTGATATTTTGTAGCTCCAGTGCATTCGCTACTGTTGCCAAGGAAATGTGACTTTGGGTTACTGCCATGGATCCAAAGGGGGTTTTGTTTGTTTTATTTTAAAATATTAGCAAGACAAAAATGAAGAGATCAAATATAGGGAATGAGTTTACTTCCTTTTTCCTCTTCAAGAGCCATGAAATACATACCTTTGGGTCACATCTCAGATTAAAAAATATAAATAATCATTACATGATTTTCTGAACTGCAAGACTTGTACCCCATCAGCCAGGGGACTATGGTCAGAGGGTGTTTCTAAGACTTTGTTCTGGGTTCAGGCCCCTCTGAAAATGTGAGGCGATGATTACACATAGCATGTTTACTTTCAAAAGCAAAGATTCTTTGTAAGTGAAGTGGCCCTAACAGTTCAGGGTGGTACATTTGAAAGAAATTTGCAAAGTCAAGTCAAGGGAAAGTCAGTCCCGTTGCAAAGCTTATAAATACATTCAGCTGAGTCCCAAAAGATTCTAATACAGATGTGAATAAAGATTTCATCACTGACCCATTTTTTTCTCCTATGATTATTCCTTACATTCAGGTAAGCTTAAGGTTTTCATTTGTGGTAATGGACTCAAACAAATTGATTTTTTGAAATGCATACATATATATATATACATATATATATATATGTCTAGAAACAACCTTTACTTCCATTAATTATAATGGTACTTTTAATTTAAAAAATCCACATGCAGATCAAAGATGCAGAACAAGATGCCTTTTAACAGAAACAAACTCTAATGCAGGATCCACTCAAGGCAAAGCTGATCATTCAAACTACCTGCAGATAAACAGGAAGTCTTTTTGTTTCTTTTTACAATTAAGAAGCAACTCACAAACCCCATAGTAACTACTCTTAAGCAAATATTTGGAAGTTCTAGTGAAGTGACAGAGGAGCTGCTGTGTCCAAGAATGTATGCTGGGCCTCTGTTGGGAGAATAAAATCCAGGCTGACCCCTCATGGTGCCATGTGGGTAAACTGTTGGTTCCATCCTAGGCAGCTTTGCCCAGGATCCAGTGTTCACTCCTGCTAGGGCCCAACCTATCCTTTTATATAATACTCAGGGGGAATCACCTACTTCTGATGTGGTTTGAATTTAAATCTGTGAAACCAGCAGAATAGTCCCATCAGAGGAAAATGAGGAAGTTTTGGCCTAACACAAGTGACCTAGCTGCATTTCCCAATCCTTTCTCTATTTTTATCCACCTCTGAATGTAAGAACTGTTGACCAACTCAGCTCAGAGCCCTGATCTTCTAGATGAACTTTGTCAGCCGCCCCGCCCCCCCCCCTTAATCCTGGGCAGGCAAATCAAATGAGTTCAACCCAGGGGCAGTGTAGTAAGGGAAATGCAAACCTCAGAAGTTATCTAATCAGAGAAGTTGTCCTGAGCTCTGTCTTATCTTCTGTCTAATAAAAAGAAATGGGATGTCCTAAACTTGAAGGGTCATCAAATAAAGATGTCTCTTTGCCTCTGGCTTTTGGGCAGCTATGGCTAAGCAGTTTAATCTGGTAATATGAACTGTAAAACACTGTCATGGATTCAAAACACCTATGTTGTAAGAAAGTTTGAAGGGGTGGGGTTTAAACTGCTTTGATATGAAGCAGAAAACCCGAATGCCATTGGGAACAGACTGTTAAGAAGGGTGTAAAGGTTGGGAGAAAGAAGGACTTTACTTGAAGCTAAGGTAGTGTTTTCCTTTAAACATAGGCAGGGTTTAGTCTCAGTTTAAGAACACTTAAATACAGTGTAACAATCCAAAATGCTGTTCAGGAAACAGAAAAACAGGTGAGCCAAGAGAAAACAGAGCAGGGCTTTTAAACCCATGGCAATAAAATGAAGGATTAAGTCTGCCTAGTTTCCAAGATAAAACGTGAACTTCTGAGGCTTCTAGGTCCCAGAGGCACCTACATCCCACCAAATCGATCGGTGGGTCAGCTGTGCAAGGGCTGGAGGGAGACTGGTGCTTCTCTTACAAAGTTTCTGAAGGCATGCTCCCTCTTCCATCCCACCCAGAGTACCCTGCTCTCCTCCTGTCTCCACCTCACTGAACCCCCACAGAAGTCCTTCCTAAGTCCCTGTAGAAGTCGTCTCTACAGCCCCCGCAGCCAGTTTTGCAAGCCTGGTCCTCTTCTCAGTGGCAACTAGAAGGCAGGATGAGGAAATAGAGCCTTGAAGTCCCCTTACTCTAAGAGGAAGGAGTGTATTTTCCTAAGAGTATCGCTTGGGCTCTGCCTGCTCCCACCCCATGCGAATCAACTCACTCAACTTGGTGTGGACTACCTTCCTACTAACTCCCTGGGATTCAGTCCTAGGAATCGTTGGGGGGGGGGGCATCTGTGCTGCCTTTAATCAGAATGAACTAGTTTCTAGTGGTCTTCCGGTCCCTTCTTTACAAGTGCTAACTGCATCAAGGCAACGGCCAGCCCGTTGATGAGTTTTAAGCCTGAGAGCCAGGAACGCAAATAAACATTATTAGGATCTCTGGGTAGGGGGAGGAGGTTGCGACGCAGAATCCAAACAGCAGGAGGTCAAGCCATTGGCTAGCATTGCGAGGTCTTACACCTTCCTAGCAGCAAACCCAGCCAGGACTCTGGTCCCCTCCCCCTCCCCATTTCTAAAACAAAATAATCCTCCCCCATCCTGGTAGGACTTCCCCAGCTCGACCTCACCCGCAGACACGCAGCAGCGCAGTGGTCTTCCTCCCCACTCCACCTGCCCCACCCCACCTGGACCAGTAGAGTTATGTCAGAGAAGTATATGGACTGAAAGTTCCTTCCTTTAAGACTGCTGCTGCTTAAAACAACAGCACCGCTAAGCAAGCCAGAGCAAAAGCCCAGGGCATCTCAAAAGTTGGTCCTGCTACGCAGCATCCCTGACGAGTTTACAAGAACACGGGGCTTAGAGTTGGCATCTACTCACCTGAGGGTGCCAGCCTCCGCGAGTAGAAAGAGAATCCAGCCTGGGACGAGGTCGGCCCCGCCCCCAGGATGCAAAATCCGGCTTTGGAGTGGAGGTCCTGGGGGGTGTAGTTGTGGAAAGGTCTGAGGAGGGTGGGGCTTCCCCCGCTCCTGGTCCTCTGAGGCCAGCTTAGCAACAGCGGACGGCAAAGGTGCTGAAAGGGGAGTTTGGTCTCTCTGGAAACCCTGACTCCATTCTTGGGGATGGGGGCGGGGGAGGAGGATGGAAACCAGGAGGGAAGCAGCTAGGCTAGGCGAGTAAAGAGGAAGGAACTGGGAAAAGAGGGAGGGAGCGGAGAGGAGCGAGAGAGGAAGGAAGGGAGGGAGGAAGGGAGGCGGAGGTGAGCGCCAGTGGCGGGGAGATGGCAGCTTCTCAGAGATTTCTACCTTCTGACGAAACCCATGCGCCCAGCAACCCCGCTAGATAATAGTTCGGAAACCTCCTCGCGAGCGCCCCCTTGGGGGGTTCCAGCGGACTCCAGCGATGCCCAGGGAACCACAGTCCGCGGCCCCGCCCAGGGCTCGGCGGTGGCGCTCTCCGAGGTCCTGCTCAGCTTTTCAGCTCCCACCGGCATCTGTGGGACACGTGATGAAGTGTTTCCTTACTCCATGATAAAGTGGTGATACAGAGGGGCAGAGGGACGAGAACAGGAGTTACACTTTTTTTTTTGCACACATTCAAAAAACTTCTTGAACAAATTCTCAACTGCCACCAAAACAAGGGTGGTGTTGTTGCTTACCTTCTGTCAGTGTTGGCCACAAGTGACCAAATGCATGAATACATAAATGGGGAACTAACTACTCTTTTCTTCATCTCAGAATGTTTTCCTTAACACAGACACTTCACAAATAAAGAAATGCTTAGGGAATGCCAATGTTTAAAATTAGGTCTAATGGGCTGGGGATGTAGCTCAGTTGGTAGAGTGCTCATAGCATGCAAGAGACTCTGGGTTTGAGCCCCAGCACTGCACAGAGCTGGGCAAGATGTAACATGTAATCCCAGCATTTCAGAGGCAGAGGCAGAAAGATCAAAAGTTTAAGGTCATCCTCAGCTATGTAGGGAGTTTGAAGTCAGCCTGGGCTAGAGACTCTGTCTTAAAAAGCAAAACACGGGTTGGGGATTTAGCTCAGTGGTAGAGCACTTGCCTAGCAAGCACAAGGCCCTGGGTTCAGTCCTCAGCTCTGAGGAAAAAAAAGACAAAATGACAAAAAGCAAAACACAAAAACATAGATCTTATGTAAAGTGTAATCACTGCCACGTATTATAGAGCGCTTTAGACATGCTATGAAGCACGTAAACAAGAAGTTTAAGGTGGATTTCATGTTTTGTTTTTCAGTGGTGGGGACTGAACCCCAGGCTCTACATATGCCGGCAAAGCACTCTGCCACTGAGCTGCATCCTCGGCCCTTATGAGGCCCTTTAGAAATGGTGGCTTGTCTGTTATAAACTTACTAAAGTCAAGTTCAGGCAAATGAACGATGAAGGGGCCTACTGTGCATTGTTTCAGTTTGTTTCTAAGATAACAGATAAGCTAGACAATCACATTCTCTCTGCATAGCCTCTCCCCACTCTCAGTCTCCAATTAGACTGCAGAATCCATAAAGTGAATAAAAGGACCTCTCCGGACTTTGGGGTGGCATGGAGGATGTTAGAATTTAATATGAGCTAAGACACAGGATAATGGGGGAGAGGGGTCTTCCTCTCAGCTTGTCTCCACACTATCCAACAAGGTCTCTCTTCGAGTGTAAGTTATGGTTAATGGTCAAGAGTTTTACACCAACCAGAGTTTCCAGTTTCAGAGGCCAGAGAAGGTGAAATAATAGGATAAGAAGAAAGATCTCCTTGATGGGTCTGAAAAGCAATTAGGAAGATCTTTGAGAAGTGGGACAGCTTCAGAGAAAAAGAAAATTAGCGTTTTCCTTCCTGGTCACTTCACAGCCCTTCTGAAACAGCGTAATATTAACTGTGAGCCTAGGAAAAATCTGAGAGAAGCTGATTGTACGCTGGCGCTTCCACATAAACCCATGGGCTTGCCTTGATTGAAAAAACTTGAGCTGTATGGCTATGCACAAGCCAGTCACATGAAGTTATGATAAAGGACCCAGCCTTCCACAGGGTCTGGAGCAGGCAGGGTGCTCACAGCACTCCAAGAAGCAGGGTAGAACCACAACTGAGTCACACACTATAAGTAACTGGAAAGACTGTTGTCCAAGCAACACTCAAGGTTTTCCTACCATGAAAAGGAGGCTGGACAGGTGGAGGCTGGAAAGCAAATTCAGCACGTGTGCTAATTCTTCCCGGGTTTTATTCAGAAAAACTAAACCTTGGAGATAAAGCTGAAGTTTGTATTGGGCTGAACTTGCAAAGATGAAACAAAGAAAAGGGAAATCCTTATTCATTTTCCTTGCACGTTGACTGTAAGTTTCAACACTTAAGTTCCATGAAGATGAAATGTCTGTTTTGTGACCTTGATCAAGATTAGAACCCCAATGCCCAGCAGAGTGTCTCTACTTAGCAGTCAATACACATTTGCTAAACTTAAAAATGAGTTTAATATCTTATAGACCATTTAACACAAAGTTCTTATTTTATAGGTGAGAGAAAGGCAGTTAAGATGTGCTAAATGTATACTATTTCCAAGAATCTGTTAGACAGCTCTGCTTATCCCATTTAATTTTGACAGCAGCTTGCCCAATTAAATTTTATCACATCTGCAGCAAACCTAGAGTTTCGGTGTTTGGGATGGCTAGACCACCACTCGGTCAGTTACTCAGCGTTATTTGAAACAGGTTCTAAAGTCACAACAAAGAGTAGGACATGGAGCAGAAGTTACAACATCAAAACCCATAGAGAAAAACCCAATATAGTTATCCCCTCCCCCATGTTAAAAGCATAGGCATGCAAATTAAATACAACACCAAAACTTGTGACTGCCAGCAGGCTTCAGCGCCCTAATTAGAAACAAACAGTTGCCTGCAAGCCAGTGTGCAGAACACACGTGCAGCTTTATGCCAGGACATTTTTTTTGTCTCAAGGCATGAGACCGAAAGTAAATTCAAAAAGGTTCTTTGCAGGGCATGTAAGCAGAACTTACTCCCACCACTCATACGAAATCAACAGCTCATCTGTACAAATGATGATTTATAACCAGCTAATAAATTCTGCCCTCCATCATAGCCCCCACAGCAAGTTGCCCACCAGCCAGAGTCTCCTCAACAATTGTGCAATCAAAACCCTCCTTATTGGTATCACTCACCTCCTCCCAACTCTCCTTTTCATGCAATCTGAGCTGTTGGGCTCCACAGCCATGGTAAAGGTGGTCTAAGGCCAAGTTACAGAACACGGCAGCACTGGTATTCCCAAGCTGAAAGGAGGCTCCAGCTCTGGGTAGCTTCGCTCGCTGGGTCTCTGTTTGATAACATAAGGAGAGACATCCGCTCAGTGTCCTATGCCAGTATGAAAGGCATCTCACCCATCAGTATGACAAGTAAAAGGCTGGAATGGAGCCAGGGAACAAAAGGGAGGAAATGTGGACTCTTCCCAACACAGCTGATACCATTTTTTAAGGGTAGCAGATGATGAAGGGGAAAAAACAGGCAGAGTCAGTGCCCTGTATCAAAACCCTGGATCCTTCCCTGGGTGAGTCAGAGTGAGCATTTTGTTTTGAAATGGAATTTCTGTTTTCTTTTTTCTTCCTTTTGAGCTGTAGGATGGTTACATACTCAACCACTCGGGGCTATGGCTGTAAATAACAGGATTTATTTTTGAGACTGTGGATCAAAGAAAAACATTGAATCTCACCCCAGGATTATTTATAGCTCAAAAATGTGGTTTTGTGTGTGTGTATTTCATGTGATTTTGAGAATTGAGGTATATGCTCTCCTTTTGAATTTCTGTATATGTCTGATGTTGGTTGTATTACTGGAAATTACTGGAAAGCAGAGAGAGTTGTTCCAAGGAAAGCTTTCAAAGATGCTTAGAGTCAAGGGAGTGTCCGTAACACATGCTACAAGCTGAGACAGAGATTACATTTCTTACTTCCTGCCATTCTTTTATACAGGGACCCTGTATGACCTGTGGTGCCTCCTAATACTCAGCAACAAGCTGGTCTATGGAGGGCGCCTTATTCTTTTGTCTGCCAATAGGTGGCATCAAAATCTCTCTAGCTGTTCTTCCCTGAATTTTAAAAACCATAAGCAGAGGGTATTTTCTTTCTGAGAGTTTACATTTTACCACAGGTGATGTTGGAAAAGCCACTAATGTACTCTGTGTTATTTCACAGCAGATCATCCCATTTATCTAGTAAAGAAGCTTCTCAGTTGCCTTTCTGAGCCTCAGTTTCCACACTGTAGAAAGGTGTATGAGTGGAACTCAAGCCTTAATATTGTGCTATTCGGGCATGTACCTTCCACATCTCACGCCTGTGCAATAAGTGCACAGGACCTGATTCCTTTGGGCTGAAGGAAAGTTAATATGCAGCTATTCCCCTATTGCAGAAACTGCTATGAGCCCCACCTCTATTAATTTCTGGTTAGTTTGTTTTTTTTCTTAAGAGGAAAAGCACAATTCTGTGAGAGGGAGCAATGTTCCCAGCTCCCACCCTACATTTTCCAGCCTTGCTGGCAGATGGGATGACCATGGGACTCACATCGAACCCTGTGCTCTTCAACATAACAGACACACATACCCATGTACATTAGTTAACATTAAGTGGAATTAGAAATGTATTTCTCCAGTTTCATCAGCCAAATAGTCCTAAGTGGCTAGCAGCTAGCACCTTGAATAGCCCATACATAGAACATCCCCAGCAATGCAGCTTCTATTGCAGAGGGCTGGCGTGGAGTGCCGCCCATGAGCGCTGCAAACAGAAGGCGGTAACTAACTCAGCTGCAAGCACACTTATTCTTTACTCCTTTCCTTCTTCCTACCTGAAATGAAAGGAGGTCGGCCACCACGTGACCACAGAGCAGCATTTGCTGAGGCAGGCTAAGCACAAAGATAAAAGGAACCTGGGTCTTTGATATTAGGAAGACAACCATCATCTCCAGGTTTATTATGAGAAAAAGAAATCCTCCACTGATTCAAGCCATTACTTTCAGCTTTTTATTCCTAAGAGCCAAATATTATTTCTAATTGATACATCCTCGGGAAATTACACGGACAACTTTCTATTAATGGTTTTGGGTAAATATGTTTTTTGTTGTTGTTCTGGTTTCCTTTATTTGGTCAGAGTTGAGAACAAGATTCTAGCTAAAAGAAATAAAGTACACACCACAAGAGATCATTATGGATCACTCATTTCAAAATGTTGGACGAGACAAAGGGAGTGCTGATGAGCATTAGAGACAGCCAAAATGAATGTCTTTGTCATTTGGCTGAAGAGTAGCCATGCATTTTCCTAGAAGGGAAGTTCATGGGTATGGATGGAAAAGCAAACTAAGCTTTGTACAAGGGGCTGAATGACTTGGCAACACTATCATATTGAACTCTCATGACAACCCAATGAATTAAGTATTCATTGCTCTTTGTTTTGACTATAAACTG